TTGGCTATTGATAACTCTGTGTGTGTGTGTGTGTGTGTGTGTGTGTGCATGGATTGAAATGCTCTGGAGACTTATAGCTGTCCTTTATACCACAGGGACCTGACTCTCACAGAGTGCAAATGGGAGGCAAGTAGTTACCGTAGTAACCGCAGTTACCGCTGGCCTCTGTTTAATAGACCTTCTAGGAACATGGGGCTTTTTGAGAGATAGGCTTCGAAATACACATCATCTACTAGATCAGGGTTTATTTTGAGCTAACAAAGATTTGCAGAGTCTACTGACACATAAAGCTTTGACTCCTAAGCTTCCAGATTTCAAAACAATTCAATGTTGAAATTTCTATGGGGCTCTATTTTTGCTTTGGCTTTCCTATTGATAAGAATGAGGGAAGCACACTCCCTCACTATTTGTGTCTCCTCCATGCTAGATGGAGGTTAAGTGACCAAGAGGACTTATATACTCACGACTTTAATCAGCCAGCAGAAAACGATGCTAAAACTGTCTAGCTCTCTTTTCCATAATAGAAAAGAAAAACAAGTAAAATTTCCATTTAAAAAAAAAAAGAACGAATATTGTTCATGCAAGGATTTTTGTGACCAGTTCAACAGTGCCTGCTGTAGTCATGATTGTGCTGGAAGGAAAGATGCAAGCAATACAAATATTTTCTTTGTATTTGTTGCTTGAACTGTTGTGCAGTAATTAAACTTTGATGTTAAGAAATTGCTATATCACATCCCTCAATTTCATGGCTTTAAAATGAAATTTGAGTTTGTGTTGAGCACCTTTAAAAAAGTAATAACGAAACAGTAAAATGAAGATTGATGCAGGTGGTGAGTCATGTCCAAAATTGGGTATACCTATATTTTATTTTCTGTTTTAATTTCAGGGGAATAACTTTGGGGGGAAACCATTAGGAAAATGTTTGATAAATTATTGTTCCTCCTTTTCACTCCTTGCTGCTCCCAGCAAGCTGATGTCCTGTCCTTGGAGGTATGCACCAAACCCAGAACCTGCTGAAAACCCTGTAAGATCCAGGTTAGTTTTCATTTAATTCATTAAAGAAACATTGATTTTCCTATTGCAGTTGTATAGTTTTATGATTGTTAATAATCTATCAGTTTTTTAAAAAAAGATATAACATGGGGAAATGCCTACATATATACTTACTATATATACTTATATAATGCCTATGTATATTTACATATATAGAATGTATTTACACGTGCATATAGTATGAGGACTACCTAAAAGTTAAACTCACCCTAGAAAACTGGCTGAGAGGACATCCACCAAAATATTAACATTGCTTATCTTTGCAATAGTGAAACTTTGGATAGTAGATTTTTCCTGTTTTACTTTATTGCAGTTTCAAGTTTATATTTAGTGATTACTGTATATGTATGTATAACATATAAATACACAAATATAGGTATACATACATGCATATATATATAATGTTTATAATATAAAATATAGCTTATCCCTTTAAAGATAATGCTACATATGATATTATATATTTTGATTACTATTTCATAATTCAATATTACTTTATAATCAATGAACAGTTTTTTAAAAGCCCACTTTATATCCCTCATATCTTCTTTTCTTTTAGTATTGGATTTTGAATCCTGGGCCTCGTGAATGCTATGCAAGCACTCTACTACTGAGCTACATCCCCAGCCCTTTTAATTTTATTCTAAACAGGGTATCACTGTGTTGCCCAGCTTGGCCTCAAAGTTTCACTCCTCCTGCCTCAGCCTCCTGAGTAGCTGAGATTACAGGTGTGCGGTAACACACCTGCCTCACATCTTTTTTTCTTACTATCAGGCCTAAAAAAGAAATGAACAAAACCGGCAGTGTAACTAAGAAACCCAACATTATATACTGGGACATTTTAACAAATTCATATAAGAGGGCTGGGGATATAGCCAGTTGGTAAAGTGCTTGCCTCACATGCACATGACCCTGATTCAATGCCCAGCACCAAAAAAAGAAGAAGAAGGAGAAGGAGAAGAAGAAAGAAAGAAAGAAAAAAGAAATTAGTTGAAAAGGACTTGGACAATTATCTTTTTAAGTTTTGAAATGTTAAATAGTAAGAAAAAGAAAAAAGATGCCTAGAAAAATTTTTTTAAATCTCAAAATGGTTGCAAAGTCACAAGATATTATAAATTTGATACAAATTTTAGGCACATTTGTCACTAAACAAAGAATTCATGAAGCAAAGTCGTGTCGATCCACAGCTTTACAAAAATACAAATAAGGCACTACATTCCTCACACCAGACGGACTGGTTTTAATCAACATGTGGAACTGCGTCATCTTTTCCCAAGAACAATCACAGTCTGAACTAGCCCAAGGTGTCAACCTAGGGGGAAGTGTGCCAACTGTCAATGGTGGGCAGGCGAGTCAGGCCTAGCACAGCCTTTCCCCACTCAGAGATTTCCCATCACCAGCAGCCCCACACCCTCCCCTTCCTTTGCCCCAGGTCCCTTGGCACAGCGGACACAGTCAGCTGACTCAGGTGGAGGGAGGGAGCCTGTGGAGCTACCAAACACCTGAGCAGGAGCTACTGAATGCTCAGCCTATCCTGTACAGGAAACAACAGTTTCAAGTGACAGAAATTAGATCCAAGGAATGACTACCAAAAGCAAATATATAGAGCCCAACAGGCCCCATAGAGGGGCCTGAAAAGCCATGTTTTTCTATGAATCCCAGTTCTCACAACCCATTCAATCTAGTTAGAAGTCCTCAACAGTTTGCTCTGAAAACAATGTTCCTGAACTTTCCCCAGGAGTAATTAGTCAAGGCCCATATTAAATGGGAACATGGAGGGCTATGTTTATAGTTGAACACTGTTTTAATTCTAGGATTTATTCCTAAAACACATCTAACAGAGCATACCTACACCCAGATACAACAACCAGGAGACATTTCAGCAGAATGTTGAATTTGCTTTCAGTTGACTAGAAAACATGTTGTCTTCTTGGTGGTTTGTTTTTGGAGTTGAGATCCAGTAATCCTCTTGCCTCACTCACCCTCTTATTTATTTATTTATTTATTTATTTATTTATTTATTTATTTATTTATTTATTTATTTATTGTGGTCCTGGAGATTGAACCCAGAGCCTTGTGCATTCTAGGCAAGCACTCTACCAATTGAGCTATATCCCCAGCCCTTGCCTTACCCTCTTCACTAGCTGGGACTATAGGCACATACTACAGCACCCAGCTTAGAGTCCATGTCTTTTTTTCTCAGGAGTCAAGGGTAATGACCACAGGAACAGGCCAGGAGACCCAGAGGGGAAGTCGTGTGTTGGGGTTCTTTTTGAGTTCTCAGGGGAGGTTTGTTCCTGTGGAGGCAGCCTCCCCCTCACCTTAAGAAATTTAGTTAAAACAATAAAACTACCACCATGCAGTATACTGGATCCTAATCCTGCAACCATTTGTTGCTGCCCAGGAGAGCCTCAGATAGAGAACTGCTCTACCACACAGCACAGTTTCTTTAGTCATAGCATTTTTAAAAAAATATTTTTTAGTTGCTAATGGGTTTTCCACTTTATTTGTTTACTTATATATGGTGCTAAGGATCAAACCCAGGACCTCACAAGGTTCGATGCCAGGCAAGTACTCTACAACTGAGCCACAACCCCAGTCCCTAGTCATAGATATAAAAGTGCTTTAACAAATGAGGACCCCACCAGGCACTGTGTCACACACCTGCAGCCCTGGCTATTTGGGAGACTGAGGCAGGAGAATCACTTGAGCCCAGGAGTTTGAAGTCAACTTGAGTTAACACAGTGAGACCTTGTCTCTCGATAAATAAGAAAATAAAAATAAGGACCTAAGCGTTTTCTTAAATTTCCTTTACATAACAACTGGGTTCATCTTACCATTCTGGATTTTTAAATTATGACCAGACCAAATAAATCCATTAAGACTAATAATAATAGCAAACACTTACTTGACATCACTGACTGTGTGTTAGGCACTAGTTTGAGCATTTTATAAATACTGACTCATCGAATCATTTAATCTTCAAATAATCCTACTTGGAGGTTTTATTTTTATCCTTACTTTACAGATAAGGAAACTAAAACACAGTGAGTCAATAAGTTGCAGAGGTAAGATTAGAAACAGGTCATCGTCTGATTCCAAATGTAGAGTGAGATCACTGAAGGCAGGACCAGGGCTTTTATCTCTGAATTTTCAGCACCAAGAAAAATATTGATTCATAACAAATGAATCAGCCATGCATCAAACACTGAGTGGACAGTTATGACAGATTATAGGCATTTCGACCATTTAGTGGTCCTAAAAAAGAAAGAACTTACTCTCAGCTTCCTCTGTTAACCTATCCATTTTTAACTTGGCAAGGAGAGACTTTACTGGAAAGATTATTGCAGAGGGGAGGAGGAGCTACTTTAGCAGGGAGAAGGGGGATATTGCAAGAGGGAAAAAGTTCTGATTATAAGATCCACAAGCATCTCCCTCTGCTCATCTTTTAAAAAATAATTAATGCAATTCTACCTCCCCAATATTTGAAATTGGTGGTTATTGCCAAAGACTCTAACCAACCCTGCCACTCAGTTATCTTTCATACCCAGGATACGTCAGGGGAAGGGGCAGAGAAGAAACAGAAAGGTATCTCAGACCCATGGTGAATTCTGGAAACTGACTTTAAAAGGTATATGGGAAAGGGAAATGGTAGGGGAGACCCTGAAAGTCACTAAAGAGTATCAAGGGGTGACCTTAAAATGGCCAGAGGTGTGGAGTAGTTCTTCATGGCAAATAGAATACACTAGAACTGGGCCCAGTCCACACAGTCAGTCATTTTCTATGGAGGTATCACGCCCATCAGCAGTGTTTCAGACAGAATGGAGCCAACACCTGTGCTCCCCACAGGGCTCACGGGGTGATGCCAGCAGAGGCAACAAGGAGCAGGCACAATGGGGTCCTTCCATATTTCTAGCATGGCAAGGAGGCAAGTGGTTGGGACTTACCTGTAGGTATATGGCCCCACCTCCTCTAACCGAGGGATCTCTCCTCTGAGGATCTCCTCTGGATTGGTGACATTGAAGAAATAGAACTGAGTATACACGGGCAGTGGGGGCTTCTCCCAGGAGTCAAAGATCTCGGTACCATTCCTTAACACCATATTCTAGGGAAGAAAAAACAAAAGGAGATTTATAAAACTGTAAGGCCGTTGGTTTTGGACATGAAGCAGGAAGTATGCTCCCTACTCAGATGTCCTACCTCAGTTATTTTAATTATTTCACAGGCATTCAACGGCTATTTCTTGAGAACAGTTCCATGCATTACACCAAGAGGCCCCATAATCCCACAAAGCCATTAGGTCCTCAATGAATATTTGTTGTAAAGGAAGGTTGCTAGAGACATAGCTCATGGGTGGGAACATGACATTGCCAAAACCAAATGCCCCACTTGGCTTTGTTATTTTCAAAGATGTCACTGATGGTACAGCTGCTGAAGAATTTAGCCTCTTCTGAAAAGTACCATACACTTCCAGCTTGCCCAGGTGAGACAAGAACAAGGAGACAGGCTCCAGACCAGTTTGGATCCTTCTAGTTGAGCTGAAACCACATTGATCCTGACTCACTTCACCACCAGGAGTTTATATGCATTTTTATATAAATCCCCAACAAATTCATAAAATGGAGATGCTTGACCCTGTTTCAAAGACAAGGAAATCGAGCCTCACTGAGGTTAAGCAACTACGGTAGACTGTATTCTTTGTCCATAATCCTTCCTTTGCTTCCTACCCTTGCCAGGTGTTTTGGGCCAAATTATATACCCCTATCACCCCCAAGTTCCTATGTTGAAGTCCTAACTCCCAGGACCTCAGAATGTAACTATATGCAGAGACTGGGTTCTTTAGAGAGGTAACCAAAGTTACATAAGGTCATGAGGTTGGGCCTTAATCTAATATGACTAGTGTCCATGTAAGAAGTCAGGAGATATATATATATCTATATATGTATCTATATATATATATATATAGATACATATATAGAAAAAGATCACATAAAGATACAGGGAACGATGGGCATCTACAAGCCAAGGAGAGAGGCTTCAGAAGAAGTCAATCTTGCTGTCAAAGGACAAGATAACAATAATTTAAATATTTTACTTGACTTTATGTGCTGCAAAATAGAATAAGTGTTCTGATGTACTGAGCAGAGGAGGTTGATATTATAGACAGAAAAGGCATGAGGAAAGTAGAAACAAAACAATAAAGTAGATTTGTCATTTTTTTTATTTTCCTTGTAAGCAGGGGCAATAGAAATTCATTTTTAACAACAATTTACTTCAGGTTCTAGGAAATTTGGTTCTCTCTTTATTTTGCAGAAGATAACTTAATTTTAGTTTGGTTAACTTTATTATGAATGGCTCCATTTTGATTTTTAATTGCATCTCTGGGGACCTGGTACAGAGCTCTGTCTGAAACAATGGCCTCTTAGTTTCTGTTGTTCAAGCTACCCAGCCTGTGGCACTTATTATGGCAGCCTTACCAAATGAATTGTCACGGTTCCCTAGGGCAGGAGTATTCTTCCCACCCTACTGATTTCAGGCCAGGCCAATGCCAAGGTTTAGCCAACTGAATGTAAATGGGTGGTTGCAATGCACCATTTGAAGCTAAGGTCTTAAGATACATGGCACCTCTCTATCAGATGTCTTGGAGATGTCACTTTCTGCCAAGAGAAGAGCCTGGCAGCTGGTGATCCTCAGCCTAGATCCTAAAATGGAAATGTGCAGACCAGGCCTGAAGTTGACTAGAAGCCTAGAAGCCTAGAAGCCAGCCTAATTGAGCTCAGCCAGTCAAGCCGGAACTGCAGCCAGCCTACACCCATCAAGGTGAAATAGATGTTACTTCAAGACAGTGAGATTTGGGTGCTGTATGTTATTCACAGTTGCCTGATAACATAAGCCTGATAAATAAAGTGGCCACAACTAACAGGCAGACTCCTTTTACCTTGTAGCCATAACAGTCTTCAATATGTTAAAGGAGAAAAACTGTATTTCCATAGCAGAAGTTATTAAAAGACACAAGAAAGATAGAAGCATACACTAAAAATAAATAAACCAAAAGGAAAATAGTTGTTAACTCTAAGAGTTGGGACTTTGGATCACTGTTATTTTCTCCTTGATGAGATTTTGTATTTTCCAACTTTTAAAATAATGAGTAGGGAAATTAATATTGAGAAAATTTTAAAAATAAAACTAAGAAAGGAAAATGGGGTCCACTGACAGAATATCAGGACACTAGTGAAACAATAAGAATCAGATTGCAAGACAGGGAAGAGGCAGGAGGATTGGGAGTTCAAAGGCAGCCTCGGCAACAACGAGGCACTAAGCAACTCAGTGAGACCCTATCTCTAAATAAAATACAAAGTAGGGCTGGGGATATGGCTCAGTGATCAAAGGCCTCTGAGTTCAATCTCTGGTATTATCCCCTCCCCCACAAAACAGCATCAGATTGCAAGCAAAGCAGCCCCTGCTCTCCCTGTCAATCCTCTGACAAAGAAGCTCTGAGTGACAATAAACAGAGCCCAGCTTCGGAACAGGTTGGAAAACCACTGGCTATAAATGTAACAAGCACATGACAGAATGTCAACTTTGAGTAGCCCAGGGCTCCAATTTAATAGAAGCAATGCTGCAAGAAAACGCAATGACACAGCTCTATTATTGAACAGAAAAAATACCAAGAATCTCTGCTGAAGAAAAAAAAAACAAAAAACAAAAACAAAAATGCAAGGTGACTATAGAATAAACAAATGCAGAAAAACTTCAAGTCAGTTTGAAATGGCCAACCTTCAGTTTTCTATCCAAACCATGCATTGTTCAAATACTCTTGGTCTTCACTATTTAACCCATTATGTCCCATCATCCTATCTACAGGATTCCTATAAAAACTTACATTGAGCAATTTTATAAGTATCCTAAAATTTTTATAGGTATTTATAGGTGTTGGGACATAATGGGATGAGCTGAGATCAGGATGATGAGATGGAAAAAAATCAAACTATGAAATCCCTTGTGTTCTTCCAACCTCCAAGATCCTGCTCTTGACTCCTTGGCAAGGTCTGATCTGTTCTGCCACACACTGATCACTTCCTGCCCCAGGTGTGGGAGATATTTAATCAATCATTAGGATGTAACCTTTTGTCTTACCTTCTAAACAGAAGCCTAACCTATCTGAGGAGGACAGAGGAACAGTCAGTTCAAGCCCAGAGTACAAGAAAACACCATAATTGGAAAGGTCCTGTGGCTGGTAAGAGATACCCAAACTTCCTCTATTTATGTCAGATCTGAGTCTGGAACTCGGAGAAGCTTTTCCTCCATTCTCCATTCTCTTATGCCATCTCTGCATAAAACATTTTAATAAAATATTTACATGTTGATTATACATGTTATATGGTGGAGTCCCTCATGATGAAGTATACATACTCACTTAAAAAAACAGCTCAGTTACTGGAGTTTAACCTACCTACAACTAATATGTTACAAATGGGGTCTAATGTGTAAATAATATTACTTAACTTCTAAAGGATTTTGAAGATCCATGGATATTTAAAAAGTTGATTTCATTAAAACAAGGATCTCTTTTTCTTGTCCATGACATTCCAGAAAAGGGCAAGACAATAATTTTTCCTCTTCCACAAATTGCTTGAGTGTCCCTCAACAGGACAGATTCTCCCTTCCTTTGAACCTTCTGACATATTATACAGGAATTGCTGAGGGGAAAAGTGGTCAGTACAGAAAACATTTAAAAACTGAAGTTTCTAGGAATTAACACAAAACATATGAATCTAGCAACCTAAAATGGAAAGAAAAATGCCACTACTCAGTATGTCAATGTATTAAGTTATCTGTTGGTGTCTCAAAATGAAAAGTGCTTATCTACAAAAAGAAGAATAGGTGTTTGTTTGTTTGTTTGTTTAATACTTCCTATAGCACCTGGGACACCTAGAACAGTGACTTCCCTGGAGAAATATTTGTTCAATCAACTAAATATAATCCTAGGAAACATAGACACTAGCTTCCCTTGATTTTGCTTGTGATATTGGAAGAGAAGATAGTCTTGATCAGATTCCTTCAGCCAGGCAGAAAAAAACAAGGGTGGAGGCAAAGATTGGGGAGAAGCCAGGTGCAGCACAATCTGCCATTAGCCATGACTCTAGTAAGCCGTCAGGGGCTTTTTTAATTGTTATCACTAATATTTTAATTTGCTTGTTTAGTTAGGGAATCGAGTCTACTAAATGTTTATTTCTCTCTTGAGACAGAGGGACATGTTAAAGTCAAAGCAGGCAAGAAAAACCAGAGGACTAACCAGGCTGATTGACACTTGAGAATTCTCTTGGGTTGCATAATTCTTTTTATTTTATTTTATTTTTTAGTTGTAGGTGGACACAATACCTTTATTTTATTTATTTATATGTGGTGCTGAGGATAGAACCCAGGGCCTCACACATACTAGGCAAGCGCTCTATTGCTGAGCCAGCCACAACCCAGCCCACCACCCCAGGGTACATAGTTTTGAGGTGATTTTTTTTAAATAGGTAAAATTATTCATACACTGTGAAAAGTGTCCAGAAAAATCAGCAAGGAATTTAGAGTGCTAAATCAACCAGGGAAGTGCAATGTCAGGTGGCTGCGCCTGGGGCTTCTGGGGAGCTGAACCTAGGAGCACTAAGCTCACCTTGTTTTGCAAGAATAAAGGAAGACTAGAAGGAACCGGTTCTTTGTTTCCATTCCTTCTCCCTCCCTTAGAGTTTATCAGTAGCATTTAATAGAATCTGATTTTCACTTAAAAAAAAAAGGAACAATTATTTTTAGGGTAACTAAAAAATTAAAATCTTTAAATTATCTTTATTTTCCCCACTTTATCTGCTCATTGTGTCCCCACACAGGCATGCTTTACATCTGCTTTTTACATTTAACATAGATCATTAAGTACGTTGCTTATATCTATGTAGTCTTTTTAATTTTTTAATTGCTTTTTTTCTAATCTAAACTATAATTTCTAAGTCATTCTTTTCCTGTTCCACCTTCCGGTTATCACCCCTCTCTGCCCCCTCCAGGGACCAAACCCAGGGCAGATACTGCTGGGAAGAGCTTTACCACTGAGCTGCACTCCAG